CGTATTCAAAGGTGGTGTGAACCTATACCCCCTCATTTGTCTGGCTCGGCTAAAATAACGAACGAGGGACTTGATGGGTTAAAGCCAACAGCCTAATAGCTAGAGAGATGACCACTTGAAAAGGCGTGTGGATTTGACGAGGAAAAAAGTAAGTGATGGGTCTGGCTAAAAAACGAACAATGGTACCAGATGGGTTAAAGCCAAGCCAATTTATAGCCAGAAAGATGGTCACTGAAAGAGAGCTAACAGCCTGAGCCTGGCTGCTGGAAAGATTGTCGCTTGAAAAGGTGTGTTGAAAATAATGTAAAGAGCTTTGATTTCTCTATTTGTTTATATGGAACACCAAGTCGACTCGACAACTATCACTTAGTAGTAGGTAGTAGGTACACGCCTGTCTCACAAGAATAAAAATACTTCATTTAGCTGAAAAACGACACAAACCTTTAATAAGCACAAACCTTTAATAAGCTACCAAACAGTTGTAGGTATAGCGTTAAAATAGCACTAACCAGTACGTGCTACATTTATACAAATTCTTTATTCAATAATAGTCTTTATATATTTCTTCTGTTTGAAGTCTTGGTCCGAACTTTGGCTCTATGGTTTATACAGGGTGTCCCTGTTAGGGCGTCCAGAGTCTAGATTTTTAGTTTGGACCACTATAACCGGGACACCCTGTATTGTCTTGTGGTACAGCTACGAGGATACCCTAAAACGCGACTAAGGGATAATAGGGATTGCCAGTGAAAACTGGAAAGGGAATGGGCAGCATCGTTTCCTGTAAGTACCTACCTTGCACTGCGTTTACCAATATGCCTACTAAGCGTGCTGAATATGGCAAACATCAATAAACGTCTGCATTTATTTTGTTGCTCGTAAAATTTTACGACATTTTGTGTCATCAGCTCTCCGTCTACATCGTGTCGGCAAGCGCTCTTTGAACTGTTATCGTTGCTTTGAACTGCTAAATGCAAAACGTGTGGAATCAGCCATTATTGTCTTCTATTTGAAGTTTTGGGGCCGAGCTTTGCATGTATGCTTATTTTGTGGGGTGGTGCCGGCTTAATAGTAGTCAGCAGTACCTATCTACTTTGAAGAGCGGTATTTTACAGACTGTGACTCTAAACGCGAGGAATTGAAGGCCGGCCAGACAATTATTATCAACGGCAACTCACGTGCCCACCAAATTTAAACATATAAGTTACTGTACCTTGTGGTGTCGGCTGAATAGCATAACTCCATATCTTTCCCGTGAATGTCGTAAGAAGCGACTAAGGGATTTGAGAGTTGTTGTGTATTGCAATTTTAGGCGACAGGTGATTGATACACAGTGTTCAAAATGACTCTGAAACTTTTGCCAGACTTTTGTAAATACACAAATTAGGGAAACGGCGCGCGGGGCGCATGTAAATGGCCGTTTTACAGCCGTTTACACTCTGCCTACTCCGCATGGGATAAAGGCGTGATAAATGTATGTATATAAAATAGTTATGCATACGCAGAAAAACGATGCCATCACTGAGCACTATATTAAAACAGAATAGCAATACAACAGTGGTAGTATGCAGCAAGTATGGAACTTTCATTTCGCGCGGGTGTCGTCCTGTCCTGTACGCATTCCTTTCATTGCTACGGAACCCTATTCATAGGGAGAATATTAACTATTGAATATAATGTTATTTATTACACATTAAAATCACTAATGGTTATTTTTTGTTGTACGGAATTGTCAACTGTGGGCAATAATTGCTGTAATACGCCAATCCGTGTGGTAGCGGCTAAGAGAATACTGCCATCCCTAGCCCACTCAAGGTGTTTCGTAAAAGGCGACGTAGAGTTTATAACCTCGGCTGAATATCTGTCGACTAATCGTCAACCGAATCGTGACAATGATACCAACTACATTAGCATCTCCAAAGAAGGTTAACTTCAGGCAGGAGGCCCTTAAACATTGCCAAATCTATTTACTACATAATCTTGTGCTCTAACAAAACATGTTGCGCTGACCCCCAACTCATTTGGAATAAGGGCAGGCAGATGATGATGAATTTTATTTTTGAACAATCAGTATGAGAACATCAGAAATCAACAATGTGGTAACTGACACAAATTATGTTTTAAAAGGACATTTTCAACCTTCACAGCTTACAAAGCCTTTTTATGCGCATTTACTTCCAGTGACCGCCGTAAAAACAGCTAAAACTGGCTACAAACAAAAGGCGTGTTGCACACACTCCTTTGTTTTGCCGGATCCGGTTTGTGACTCCATCAGAACCTTTGGTCAGAACTTTGGAAGATGCGTTGCTCGAAGCGTCAGAAGGATAAAGACTGACCCCTGTCATCGACCCATTGGTAGATGGACGGAAGATGAGTTGCTCGAAGGGTAGATGTCAAGGAAATATATTTTTGACTGACACCTACTAGTTATTGACTGCCACTGGCAGGTGTCGCCAGCTGTCATCTATAGAGTTCTGTTCATATGTCGGCAGTATATTTTTTCAGGCAACTAAGCAAGACTATTATCATAAACCTGAACTAGTGCAGTTTTATCGAAAACCTGCGACATAATGTTAAGGTTGGTAAACGTATTAAGTTGGTGTATTAGAAAAATAAGTTAGCTAGCTACTTCTGTTTTTTAAATATTTCTACTTTATGTTCCTTGGGGAAAGTTGTTCCTTATCAACATTTTCGCTATCGGTCATTAGTAAAATTTTACCCTTTATTTCCTTCATGATTTTGTATAGATACCTACTGGGTGTTACAAAATAACAAATAAAGCCGAAAGGAGGTCAAGGTACTCATGAAACTGAACAACTTTCCCTTTGGAACATGGGTAAAAAAAAACCAATTCGCTGATCGGCGATTTTGTACGTTTTTAGGGTTTCGTAGTCTACTACTCGTAGAAACCCTTATCATTTCACCAAGTCTGACTGTCTGTCTGTCTGTCTGTATGCCGCGCCCACATAACTTCGTCAGTTTGAGAGCTATCGACATCAAACTTGGTGTGAAGATAGATCGTGTTAACCCAAATTTTGATATGTTGAGAAAGAAATTATTTTAATTGTTTTTGGACCCTTTTCCCATACACGTGAAAGAAGGAAAAAAATAATTGTCTCCTGTAAAATTGAGTAGGGTATCGTTGAATAGGTCTATTAAAACTAAGGCGAAGTTTCTTTGAAACAAAGTCTCTTAAATGTTTCTGTCTCGAGATATTTGCTTTTAAAAGGGGCGTTTTTGAGCCATAATTTGTTCCAGCTGTAACTTCTCAAGTATGCATGTGAAAAATTCGAATTGGTGAAAGTTGTTCAGTTTCATGAGTACCTTGATCTCCTTTCGGCTTGTTATACTCTTTTTGTTACACCCTGTATATTGTCTGTCACAAACCGCAATATTAGTCCGGTTCCGGTACGTCTGCGAAACGCCATACGCTCAACCATCGTAGCGCTGTAGCGGTTTACTACGGTTTTACTACGTACGTAGCACTTTGCTACAGAGCGTGTTAAAATGGTGAAAGCTAGCCCAGACTATGAATACGGCTATCTGCCAACAAGTAGTGTGTAATAACTGCTTCTGCGTATAAACGATTTGTATTAACGCACTAGCTTATAGTACCGCGGTTTTACTTTAAATACATACATACCTATCTAGATCCCTTGCGGGGTAGGCAGAGTGTGAACGGCCATTTACATATACGTCTCATAAAAGTTTGAGAGTCATTTAGAAGACTTTATATCTTGGTAACTTAGGGCCAGGTTGTCAGCCTGTCGCCTAAAATTGCATTACACGTCATCTCTCAAATCGCTTCGAAGTAGTGTGTAATAACTGCTTCTGCGTATAAACGTTTTGTATTAACGTACTAGCTTATAGTGCCGCGGGTTTACTTTACATACATACATACCTATCTAGATCCCTTGCGGGGTAGGCAGAGTGTGAACGGCCATTTACATATACGTCTCATAAAAGTTTGAGAATCATTTTAGAAGACTTTGTATCTTGGTACCTTAGTGCCAGGTTGTCAGCCTGTCGCCTAAAATTGCATTTCTTACTACATCCACGGTAGAGAAATAGGGTGATGCTATACTAATCTAAGGCATCACAAGGCAAAAAATAGTGTATAATACCAACTTCGGCGTATAAAACATATTGTATTAACATACTAGCTTATAGTGCCGCGGGTTCACTTCACAGAATAAGATAAAGATAATACACGATGGTAAAGTTCAGAAATATTTAAATTTTTACGTACAATGAGTAGCATACCTAGTAGGTACGGAACAAAAATTGGATCTCCCATACATACTAAGTGACACACTTTTCCAACATTTTTGTACATTTTTGTCATATTTTCTTCATATTTCAAGGAATATAGTTTGTAACAGTTTTATGGGTAAAATACGTCGGATGTTACACAACAGAGGCCTGCTACTATGACACCAGGGTTCATCGGGTCATTGGACGACTCGGTGTCTCGAAGAGGAATAAAAAAGAAGAAGTAAAATATACCTCTAAAATAGTTACCTTATATTTAGGACTTCTAGTCACCAATAAGAGAGCATTTTCCTCCCCCCTCCCCCTCTGAAAGCTAAGAGAGGGGGGGTAGAGGGTCATAATCCAATATTATGCCACACTTGATTATATTCGGTATTAGTTGGGGAGATTTTCGCTATCTAGGCTTGAGAGGTTGAGGGTGTATTCTGAGAAACGAAAAGAATTGTATTATAGCTATAGCCTGCTATAGCAAATAATGAGAGATGCATCTACATCTCCTATTACCATTCTCTTTTCAGAGAACTATAGTACCGACCGTCATTCGAATAGGCTATATTTGACAGCTGTCAAAATCATGTTAATGCTATGACATAAGGTCTATTTTTCTTTGTTAACATGTTTCATAGTATGGGTTTGACAGCTGTCAAATATGGCCTATTCGAATGACGGTACTATAACGAAAGTTTCCTTTGAAATTCTTTTTACAAAACAGCAGATCCGTTAAAACCTGACGGCCGAAGTCGCAATGGTAGTGCGACTGCCTGCGACGCAGAACGTTCCGAGTTCAATTCTCGGTGGGCCATTTACAAAGTTGTTATTCATCAGTTTGTTATTTGTTCCCGGTCTGGTTAGGACATTGCAGGCTGAACCACCTGATTGTCCGAAAAAAAGATGGTTTCGTGCTTCAGATGGCACGTTAAGCCGCCAGTCCCGTTTGCTGTCAATGATTACTTAGACGATGGTCATTAGACACCCATGTCAGAGGCCTGCTATTTGTAGTAGATTGTTGAAAAACTCTAGGACCAGAGTTTATATATTGCTAGATGTAGCTCAATGAAAAGGCTGATTCGATTCTTTGACCTGATTCTGTCTGGATCTCACTAACTCTATTTACTTGACGTAGTGCACGTTCTATTCCATTGCAAGTTTAGTAATCGATCAGATATCCAATTAAGGGGCCTTGCAAACGGACGACATAACCTGTGGCTAATCTGTGTGCAGTTTGTTATGTAACTACCTATTAATAGCTTATAACTAATTTAGTAATATGTGTTATGTTTTTTTTTACGTAGCCTGCTCTGTGTCCCACTGCTGGGCAAAGAAGATGGCGAGACGACTTAAGCGCATTTAGTAGTAGTGACTGGCAGTCAGAAACCGGAGACCGAGGAGAGTGGCGCAAAAGAGGGGAGGCCTTTGCCCAGCAGTTATGTTACTGTTGAATAATAAAAAAACTCAAAGTTGCTTGTTATTTACCTACTATTTATTTTATTATGTTTGGGGAACTCACAGCAGATTTAACAAGTCTAGAATGATAGTGAGTCTTGCTATTGAGAATGTATAACCCGCGCGAATTAACTCTGCACCTGGCGCCGATGACTTCAGGGTCATTACGGTGCGCAGGAAAGGTGAAAGTTTACTGACTATTGATTGAAACTGAACAATAAAAAAATTGTTCAGTTTTGATTGATAGTTGGTAAACATTCACTTTTATTGCGCACCGTAATGACTTTGTCGTCATCGGCGCCAGGTGCAGAGTTAATTCGCGCGGGTTGTAAAAGTCGTCAATGCCGTGCGCCCACATCTCTCACACAAAAATGCCGTCCGAGGACCAACCCTCTCATTTAAAACTACCCGCTACATTGGCTTACTAGCGTAATCAACCATCTAGTGCAAACGCATACCACATTATATCACATCAGCGTCTATATATCCACGGCTGGACGTAGGCCTTCCCCAGGGTACGTCACAAGGGACGGGAAGTCGTCTTTTTTAAGTCATCAGTCATCTGGTTTGAAATGAAAGGCGTAGCACAAAAGCTTATTTGCCATGTGCAAATTCAAGCAAACACACATTTTGTCGAACTACAATATCATTAGTCTGTAAGCCCCCTCATTTCAAACTTCTCGGCGCCAAATAGTCTAACTAGCATACGCATTTATTACGACAAAGACACGACCGATGTCGCACAAAAATGTCGCCTGTCTACCAGCCCCCTTATTTCGAACTACCCACCACATTGCCTAACTAGCATAATCAAGCTAGCACACAAGCTGGTAACTGATAGTTAGCTGCCTGTTAACTCGTAGTTAACAGCTTAGGTGCCATGATAGTGTCCTAGTACTAGGACTAAGTTTCGGTTCGTCTTAGGATGCAAAGTGAAATCAGTCTATGTGTATGAAAATGTGGAATATCACGAAAATATCAGATTTTAACAGTCGTTTTAGGTAGATTTTATTATATTTGCCGTGTAGTGCCAGCTTAGAAAAACATCACTCCATAATCTTTTCCGTAGATGGAATTGAAAGTCAATGTGTATTGCAATTTCAGGCGATAGGCTGACAACCTATTACTATGGTGATACACAGTCTTCTGAATCACTCTCATTTGAGAGTCATTTTCTCAGGCGTGGTGTAAATGGCTGGTTTTACCGTGCTGTTTATGCTCTGCCTACTCTGCAAGGGATGTAGGTGTGATAGGTAAGATAACTTAGTGATAAGATAATTTATTTATACAAAAACTTGTTATAAGGCGCCCAACGTCCGTGGTTGCACATTTTAGCGCAGCGGTAACGCATACGTCTGTCAATGACTGTAAAATTTGGAATGATGACGCAAAAACTAGAATTGGCATCTGTTTCTTACTTAATTTTACATTTATAAAACACTTTTTAAATCGTTTTACTTGTTTGCGATTCTATTACTTCCTGCCATTTCCTGCAACATTACGTCTCAAAACGATACCCTCCTTTTCGAGTCGGCTAACAAAATAGTCCTCAATAAGAATCAGTCCTCAGCATGGCTCGCAACAAATGTAATTTTGTGAGGGAAAACAGAATATCTGGAGGAGGAGAGGACGTGAGAAAAATACCGTAACATAATACAGGATGTATTCGAAAAATGTGATGCCACCGAAACCATACAACCCGTTACAGTAATCAATATCAATACATAGTTTAAAATGAAGTCGCTTTTTGCGTTTCTCTATCTGACTGTCTCTCCTGAAATTCGCTTACACCTTCTAAACTACGCAACGGATTTTGTTTTTTTTTTTTGTTGTTAATGATACCTAGTGTGATTCAAGAGGAAGGTTTAAGAGCTGTAATATACCTACTTACCTAGTATCGTTTTTGAAAACTAAAAATAAAACTTCTCGTGGCATCTCATCACTAATTTTGACAGGTCAAACTAATGAAGTTACCAACGCGGCGTTCCGCAATTCGGTCTACATTACTGGCTATCACAATACATGCACAAATTAAGGAAACAGCGCGCGGGGTGATACGTAGTTCCATTATTTCAAGAAACTCAAGCCAACCAGCAATTTATCCTCAATTGAAAGTTTGCAAGTTTACAAACACCAAAAAGTAGTAGTAACACTGATGTAGACAAATAAAAATAACATAGATTATAACATAAGACTTAGGTATAAGAGACCGGCTGGTCTTGTAGTGGACTACTGTGGGCTGTTGTGAAAAAGAAACACCCTGTATAAGAACGCAACGAGTGATGCTTATTATTTTGTTGCGAGTTTCCGTAATCCTCATAGCTTTTAGTGTACGGAGGTAGCTTTTAGCACACACCTATGAATTTGATTATAAAGGTATCCAAGTAACTTCGTATACGTAAACATAACTGTAACATAATAATGCATCACTTGCCATGTGGTGCCGGCTTAGAATAGCATCACCCCTTAACTTTTCCTTTGATAGTTGAATTATATTGCAATTTTGGGCGACACGCTGACAACCGGTCACTATGGTGATACACAGTCTTCTATATGACAAACCTTTGTCAGACGTGGTGTAAAGTGTAAATGACAATGACCGTTTTTTACAGCCATTCACGCTCTGCCTACCGTGCAAGGGATAAAAGCGTGCTAAGTATATGTATGTATGTACGTCAGTTACTCACAAAATTCATACAAATGATGGTATTCAATCCTATGAGGTGCATTTGTTTCCCGATTTAACGTATCCTACAAAGCACGCAACTATTTCTATCGTTTAAAAATTTCTGTGAATTACCCATTCAGGATATCTGAACTGAACTATTCTAGACTCAATGCCTTTATAACCGACTAAAAAAGGAGGTTATAATGTGTCGTGCACAGAGCTTAAAGCCCAAAAGCACTTTAGCCAGCGGCCAGGCTTCCCAGAATACGGTGTTAAAATAAATACTCAGTATCACGGTTTACACATGTGCCGCTTGGTTTCCGGCGTTTTGCTGGATTCGGTTTTTATTAATTAATTACATCCCATACAGACTGTCATTTGTATGGTGGCTGTCAACACAAGTATTGCGGTAATCACACGCATATTTTTCCGGCTCCGTTTTTTGACGAAGTAGGTAATTTACAAGATCCCATTCGAAAATTGGATGTTATGGTCATGTATGACACATGTCAAAGCGTTAAACGACCCGATGAACCACGGTGGCAGAGTTCTTCAGTAGAAGGCCCCTGGTTGCGTAACGACCGAATCAAGACATCAACCGGGACCGAACGTGCCTTCCGAAACACGGAAGCGTCTTTCTTTTTCGGGCAATCAGTTGGTTCAACCTGCAACGTCCTTACCAGACTGGGAACAAATTCACAAAGTGATTAATATCAACATTGTGAGTGACCCCTGCGGGAATCGAACCCGGACGGAACCTTTTGCGTCGCAGGCGTTTGCACTACCGCTGCTATGCTTCGGCTGTCATTTGTTGTCATTTGTATGGTGGCTGTCATACATACATATGTCACGCTTACATCCCTTGCTGGGTAGGCAGAGCGTTAATGGCTGTAAAAACAACCATTTTATACCACGTCTGAAAATAGTTTGAGAGTCATTCAGAAGTCGGTGTATCACCATAGTGACAGCCTGTCACCTAAAACTGCAATACACAATGGTGGCTGTCAAAAACCGCAATATTGTCTGGCGCATGTGCTACTTTCATTTCTCTTATCCTAAAATAAATATCCACTACGGTTATTCAAAAGCTAAAAGTTTTGAATTTTTAAACTCTTCAAAGCTATTTTTTCTAGTCATTTATATAGAAGCTTCAGAATTATGGAACTGTGTAAAATGGAAGTTTTGTTTATGTTTCACAACGAGAGTGTTTGAGGATTTGGTTCTTTTGAGTGAAAAAAAAAGTGGACTGAATTTATTGAGTATCACGGTTTTCACATGTGCCGCTTGGTTTCCGGCGTTTTGCCGGATTCGGATTTTATTTATGTTTCATAACGAGAGTGTTTGAGGATTTGGTTCTTTCGAGTGAAAAAAAAGTGGACTGAATTTATTGACATCATTTTATTTCATAAAATATGTTTCATCCATTAAGTGAAGTTCGTTGTATTGCATAGAATGATCTTAGACTATGATATTTAATTTAATCAATAATTTTAATTCAATTAACTTAATTTGCATGTTATACCTACACTAGTAACGATAGCGAAAGTAGCAAATTCGAATCTTGCCTGCCGTGCGTCATATCAAGTTTTATACCAGAAGTAACAAAAAGGGTGTACAGGCCAACCAGGCTTACAAGCAAATCAGGGACGTCAAACTAAATGTCAATTGCAAAAAATGTGGTACGGATAACAA